CCACGCGAACTTTGATTTGATGGCTCAGTCAAAGCTGTATTTCAAGTTCAAGCAAACGGCTCTTTTTCCTTTCATGGTTCTCATTCTGACTGAAATCGTACAAGGAAACGGTGAGTCATAAATCATTTGATAATCCTAGGGTTTACGGTCAATTCACCATCACAACAAACTCTTCACCACAAAACTCGTCACCACTTAAAGTGAAATCGCCACAGGTGGCGATTGACTAAAACTTTATGTGGGAAAGTTACATCAAATGAAAGCTGATGAAGATGTAGTTGTATATTGCGAAAAGGGAAAGGTGTACTGTCTGAATATTGGAACGTTAGACGAAATAAAACATGTTGATATCACGAACTGATTATGATCAGTTAGCGAACAGCGAAATCAATTTGTTTGGTAAACCCTTTGTTTCAGTGAGTTACTTTCTGCAGAATCTTGCCGTGTTTGCAAGCACTCTGAATTTCGCATCATAAAAACTAAAAGATAAATAGACTTCAAGATCTAACCTTTTGTATGATATAAGTTTCATTAGATTTGATTGCGAATCGTGTTTATAAGAACGAAACACGTGTTAGAACTTATGTCGACATTCTTTGTGCTTGAAACAAGAGTTTACCGTGAAACAAAGAAAGGACGCCAAAGTCTGTTGGAGTAAACTTCTTTGTATTTGTACGTGCTTTTAATGTCGCAATATACTACGACTTCTTAGCATTTATGTGATGTAAGTTTCATACGATTTCATTCATTTTGGCGAAAATCATTTATATCACTCGGCGGATATCACTCTGGTTTCGCTGTTCGCTAATTGATCATAATCTTCCTGATCTCAATATGCTTCATTTCGTTTAACGTTCCATTTATTCAGACGCTACACCTAACTTCCGAGTCCCTTTCCTTATTCGTAGTATACTACTACATCTTAGCTTTCATTTGATGTGAGTTTCACACGAGAGGCTACACATAACGTTTTAAGTCAAATCGCTACCGGTGGCGATTTTACGTTGATTGGTGGCAAGTTTTGTGGTGGCGAGTTTGTTGGGGTAGCGAATAGACCGGATGCCAATCCAAGCCCTTCAATGACCACGTAAAGAAAATTCCAAACTTATTTTTTTAGCAGTTTTTCCTTTTTTTGTTTGTTTGTATGTTTGTTTCAGTTGTTTTGGCCTCTTTTTTTCTTTAACGTGACCTAAAAGAAGACGGTTGAAGCCTATTTTATAAAAGAGAAGAACTTATTTACATTTAAGCTGATGATTTTCTTGATCCTAGATCAGTAGGACTCGAGTTCGCACCTGCGCTGGACGGAAATAGAAGTTAGCATACAATGCGCATAAGTAATTGAAACGATATATCAAAACAATAAAATTGCTTTTACCATAAGAGCATCATCGCTGACACTAAGATCAAAGGAGGTACTGAAAAGCAGATGTTAGTATAAACAACTAGGCTATGCTAAGAAAATCACTAGCATTCCTTTCCATATTTAAAGACTGGTGCAAAAACACTCGCGACTCCATTTGAAACGATCGATAGCATACAAGAACACACTTCTACCCCCTTCTCACTCAATTTTCAAGTGTATTTCTTTGACACTTTCCAAACAATTAGTTTATTCAGGTGACAAAGCAAATCCGGGATAATAATGTTATTGCTTTTTAAAAATACGTTCTGTAAGGGAGTTATCAGTTATCGCCTAGGTATCCCTTAGTTTTCAGGAGGAACGGATTCGTGATTAATCGTCGTCAACAGAATATAAAGGGGGGACTGTGGACAATTGACTGCCAGTTAATTGCTAATGTAGGGGGGAGGGGGAGGGGGAAGGGGAATCATTAGAATATTTTAGAGCCTTATGAGAGGGGGTCAGGTACATTTTATCGCGACAAAATCAAAATCCTTCCCCCCTCCCCACAGGTGATAATGATTGGTCCCTATTTGGCCAAGGAAAAGCCGGCCACAATCTCAGCTGCTCATGTCCAAGCCTTTTGAATATTTAAAACAATCGCCATTCAGTCACTAGTCTGTTCTGTACTTTAGACAGGTTAAAATCGTTTTCAAGTTGGCACCTTGTGGTATGAACTGATTATTCTAAATTGAAGATCTGGTTGATTAAACTCTTTTTTCTCTGCTACTTCTTTTTACAGACGATTGTCGCATTGTAAAGTATGAGCCCCAAATGGTTGGGAGATCTCTGTTGAATCACATGATAATTTCGCTCGTCATAGACTCGATGGACATTTGTGAATTAAGGTGCTATCTTGAACACGACTGTGTGTCGATCAACTTTGGAGCTGAACATGACGGAGGGAATTTATGTGAACTAAGTGACTCAGATCACTTTGTTCCTTCTGGAGATCTTAAAAATCGAGAGGGATTTATCTACAGATCAGTTGAGGTATCATTGTATTGGTCTTTCAATTCCATGAAGGTCTTACACCATGAAATTAGGACCGCAAAATTAGCTATGCAAAAAGAAAGACATTGCACATATTTCTCAACTTTGCGCCAAGACGTTGCTGGGTTGTTTCCCTTCAGGCGCACTGTGTTCTTCTGACCCTGTTAAAAAACACTTATCCTGGGTTTTCCGGTTCAAACCGAGCTAACGAAAGAAATTGTGGCGCCCCTACGTGTTACACATTGTTTATTTCCTCTCTGCTTCCATCTCTCCTTACTTTTACGACAAGCATTTCCTTTTCAATCTCTTTTCCTCTTATTCTCTGCTATTTTCACAAATTTTTTATTTTCTCTTGTCTAATATCTCCCTTCTACAGTAGAACTCTAGTGACTGAAACTTGGTTAACTTGAACTCCCTGGTACCTTGAGAAGGATCCGATATCCTTAAACCCATTCTTTGTTCCTTTGGAGTTCGAGTTAGCGAGGTTCTCTTATATTTTCTAGCAATTTCTCGCCTCTTCTGGCATGAAATGAATAATTAAGTATGCAATCGAATTTATTTTTGCCTCAACAGAATTTTTGCACCAGCAATCCTTGTTCATCGAATGGCCGCTGTCAAACAGGATTTGGAGATAAAGGATACGGCTGTATATGTTCTACAGGATACACAGGGGAACACTGTTCTACTGGTAAAACTTTTTGTGACGATCTTTTGAATTTCTGACTTCTTGACCGACAACTGATAAGATGTAACCCTTCCACTCGCAAGATCTGATAAGAAATTCCTCTTACTGTCTGCCATACAATTCACATGACGTTACTTCGGGAATTTGCAATTGGATCCACTTATGATTCCCTAATTGATATTTTTTTCTCATCCCTTGTCCGCTTGATATTGTATTGATAATGCAAAAAGAAACTCTGACTTGGTCACCCATGGTAGTGAAAGGGTTTTATCATCATTGTTATAGCCAACCATCTATAATTTTCATCACTTTGTATTGTTAAGCGATTACTTTTCAGAATTTTTGAGAAAATCAATCAAATTTAGGCGTAACGCACGCCTGACACATAAATTTCCGTTGTGATTCGTTGCATCTAGCGATCCTCGGTCACGTTAAAGAAAACCCTGGGAATTCTTGTAAACATATCTTGGATAATGGGACATCGAAAGGAAACGGGGTGTACTGGATCGACCCCGGCAACAGCGCAGACCCTATAAAAGTTTACTGTGACATGACAACTGATGGAGGTATGAAGGATTCTCGAAATATTGATAAACCAATCGTGTAGCAACCTCCAGCCTTAGTGCACCTCCCCGCATGAACCCAGCCGTGTGATAGAAGCTCAACTTACTTAATCATTTCACTCCCAGGATCTGATTAGCAATTCTCCTTACTGTCTGCCATACAGTTCTTATGATGTTAGTTTGCAGAAGTTGATATTGGATCAACTGACAATCCCCTGATTTTCTTTTTTCCTTATTCTCGTTACTTGTCTGCTTGATATTGTATTGATATCATTAGGAGAAATTCTGTCTTGATCACTCATGGCAGTTAAAGGGTTAAAGGTATCATGGAGAGAGGATTAGCTGCATTTATAACTCGTGCTTTTATGCACGAGCAAGCATAGATGATCCCATCAATGTACACATTTTTGTTAAGCTTGATAATCATGGAAACAACTATAACTTTGAAGTTTCTTAAAAGGTAATTTCTGCCCGCAGAATTTATATTCGCGAGATTCGCGTACTCTCAAAGCTACCAGCCGACCGTTGTTAATCCTTTTTAATTAAGACTCGAAAACTCTGTAAGCCTGAAAAATTGATTTTCCGATTTGTGAAGAGTTCGCAGTTCCGTCTCATATTTATTCATAAATTAATATTTTCTATGCGTTTTGTAATCTTTGCGTCGTTCTCTTTCAATAATTTTTAAATTTGCCCGATCCTCCCTCCGTTCCTCCTGAAACCCTGTGTCCCCCCCTAAAATCTTCCGACTCCATTCAGGCGATAAATGATGACACAATTAAGTTGGCTTGATTTCAGGAGGTTGGCTGCTGGTCGCAAACATTGTGGCTGAGGATTCCATCCCTAAGAGTATGACGTCTATGGGATCATACCTTAGAATACAAGACTACCACAATTCAAAAATGTTCCTTTCCGATACTGCCATGACCGAACTGCGGAAGCGTTTGTCTTTCACTCAGCCGAGATTCCACTGCAGCAAACAACTGGGACGCACGTTCCACGTGACCACTGTTGCTAACAGCTCTGGTGAAGCCTTGGTCATGTACTTCAGCGGTCAGACGAATGAGCGACCTTCTTCATGCAACTCTTTCCGGAGAGTAGAGGGGGATAATTCTTCCCTTTCTGTGGCATGTCATGAGTGGGGAACCAAGTATGACGGGAAATGGGGTCACGAGCACGGAAGTAACAAACTAGTCAATCACTTGGCGTACGTTTCACATACGTATCACTGGCATATTGACCAGGGAGACTGGTTGTGCGATGACAAAGGATACGAAAACAACCTATCACGTGGAGATTTTTGGAAAATATATGCGCGATAAGCTATCTTAAGAACTACCCACACTCTTCACCGTGACGATTTTAAGAGTGAAATTGTGACTGTTAGATTTTTCGGTACTCTTTCCCCATCACATGCTGTAGTTAAATTTTCACCGGAGTATAATTGAACGAGACAATACGGTTGATTAAAAAAGAGAGAAAGTTCTAACATTATTTGAACATCGTAAAATGTTGCACTCAACCTTTTTTATCTTAAAAATGCACGCCAACTAGATCAAGAACAAAGGTTAAAAAGGTGAGTTCTCATCAAGTATAACCTACCATGATATGCCGGGTATAATAGTTTTCTCATCGTATATGTTAAAAAGACTTTGATTACTAAAATCTTTGCGGAAGGTGTTCAAGAACTTGTAAAACGAAGACAATGACGTAAATAACTTTCATTGTTGTCTCATAACGTATGCGACCTGGTGACACTCTGTGGAATAATCTTGTTCACAATTCAGTTGTTGTACAGATCAGCTTTTGCCCAGTAATTAGTAAGGACTAAGCTTAAGTTGATTTCGATGCATATTAGGTACGCTAGCGGTTTTTTGATGATCAAAATCATTGTCCCATATTCGATTTGAATGAAAATGAGAACGAACAAGATGTCAATATGACAATTTCTTTCTCCGATTAGTTTGTGTCTTCATGACTGATGATTCAAACACATAATCAAGTAACATACGATAATGACGATCAAGATTCAAACCGTTCCTTGATTCTGAAGGTTTCTTTTTTCCTTTCCTAAGAGGAACTCTATCATAACTTATCCCGCCAGGGGGGGCATGAAGTGCAAGCCCTGATGAAGCGGACGTTGTTTCTCGGAATGACAGAGCAGGGCACGTCCAGTTGTCAAAATGCTGCGTGGTTGCTCTCAAAGAAGCACACGGCACATGCTTAGCGAAGCCACTCTGTGACATTCAATAGACCGTTCAGTTGTGTCCTTCGCCGTACCATGAGGATGGAACACGGATACGCCACACAATTATATTATTTTCGCCGCTATAACATGTATAGATTCTAAGGTTGAGAAAAACACTCGACCACAAGAGCCCCAAACTAACATACCATATGTCACAGACGATAAGATAACCTTAAAATGGAAATCAGTTCTCGCATGTTTAGGCAGGAAATACAAGGATTTAAGTAAATGAAACTTCTGCGTAAATGACTTCGCTAATTCCGATACACGATGATCCCATTTAAGAGCATTGTCTATCTGAACACCTAGGCATCTTGTAGAAACAACCTCCTCGATAACATAATCACCCATCTTATAGCTTATTTAGGCCCAGTCAATTGTCTGCGTCCACCAAGCAGCATATATTCCGTCTTGGTGGGATGTGGATTGAGACAGTTCTCACAACACCATGTATATAGCCTTGCTAGGACTTCATTCAACTTGGAAGCCACCAGATCATCGGTCGGAGCCGAGACATAGACGGTGGTATCGTCTGCGTGCATGTGAAGGTGTGGGTCACCATCTGTTCCCTCAGTGATATTGGGCAGATCATTACAAAAGATGGAAAACAGGTTAGGGCCCAGCACCGACCCTTGAGGTACACCAAAAGTAACTAGCACAGATTGAGATTGACATTCATTAATCGTCGTTACTTGCGTTCTTCCAGAGAGGTAACCCTTATCCAACACCATAAGTCCCCAGCTCCACCAAGACTGAAGTTTTCGGAGCAGAATGGAGTGGGGAATCGCGTCAAATGCCTTACGAAAGTCTACAAAAACCATGCCTACAACATGTTTCTTGTCGATCGCTTGTCTCCAGTCATCCGTTATCTTCACTAACAACAGCTCGGTGGAATGACTTTGTGTATACGCCCACTGGTTAGGATTCCCAAGTCCTTGTTCAGTAACATGCATGGTAGTAGTTGACGCCACCATAGACTCCATCAGTTTTCCTGGCAGACTTAATAGCAAAATAGGCCTGTAATTAAAATGACAGTTTCATCGTCACTTTTTTAGAGAGCTGAGATGTTTGCAGCCTTCCAAGTAGCCGGAACACTGTTGCAGATGGCGCTTATTTGAAACACAGACGACAAAGATGGAACAATTGAGTCACCAGCAAACTTTAAAAGTTTTGGAGCAACTCTGTCGGGCCCAGAGGCTTTATCGGCTCTCAACTTGGCCATCGAACTAACAATAATCTCATGCGATAAATTTATGTTCATAACACAAGACGCGACAGTAAATACATGAACGTTACCTTGAGTCAAGTTGGCATTCGGCAATTCGTTGGCCAGTTTTTTGCCTATAGTTGAGAAATGTTCATTAAGTATGTTCGCTTTGTCCAGATCGGAGGTGACAACTTTTCCATCCGCATTCCTGATCCCTAACATCGGGGAAATCGCTTTTCCGTTTGTCGCATTTTTTACCAGTTCCAGTAGGATTTACAATCCTTCACTTCATTGAACAATTCCAAGTAGTATCTGCTCTTAGAGAGCCTCACTTCTCTTGTCACTCTATTCCGCAACTCCCGATACTCAGCCCACAGATTTGGATCACCCAGACGTTGTGCCATTTTAAGCATTTTAAAACGTTTATTCGTCAAGTGCTGTATTTGCGGTGTTATCCAAGGTACCGAGACGCTTCTAATTTTAACTTCCCTGTAAGGCGCATGCACCTGACAGATATCTTTGAATATGCGTAACCACGCCCAATAGCAATCGTCTGGATCGTTAAACACTGAACATACTGACCACGGGGCACTCTCGATATCCTTCACAAAAGCAGCTTGATCAAATCTTTTGAAGGTGCGGGCTCTAAATATGTTTGGAGGCGGCCTTTTTATTTTGGACCATATTGTAGCAAGAACCAGCTTATGATCTGAGATTCCTAATTCAGTTGTTTTAATAGCTCCCTTGATAATCTCCGGCTTGCTGGTAATAACCAAGTCAATCAGTGTTTTTGTGTCACTTTTAACTCTTGTTGGCTGGTTCCTATCGTTCATTACGCTATAGCTAAGTTGCTGCAGTATATATCTTGTAATCTTCTACCGGCGTATGATGTAACACCCACGTAGCTACGAAAATAGTCCGAATTGAAATCACTGACAAGCACCACATTCCTGTGCCTAAGCCACACTTTCTCCAGACACTCACAAAATCGTTCGTAGAACTGGAAGTCACAAGGAGGTCGATAACAATTTCCTAAGATCAACGCAGACGAATTATACATAATTTTGATCCACATTAATTCAACATCAGGAGGCTCTAGGGATTTGAGCCTTGAATAACAAATATGGCTCGCAATGTAAATCAAGCAGCCACCTCCATCCTGTCCCGTATTTCTGTCCCTTCTAACAATCTTATAGTTATCTACATGTAATTGCTTGTTCGATATTCTCGCGTCTAAAAAGGTTTCGGTAATTGTTAAAATGTCGAAACGACACAATTTAAGTAATAGCTTGATTTCATCCATCTTATTCCTCAAGCTTCGAACATTCAATTAGCCATTTTACAGTTGTGTACTTAGTTGCCAAGCCTTTGAATCAGAGTGAGGCTGAAGGTGACCTTGTTGTGAGAGAGACCTGTATCTAGTTAGCATGATAACAAAGTGATTTACATTTGAAAGGCAGCAAGGTTTGTATCATAACCAGGTCACTCCTAGCCTCACTCCCGTTCAAAGGCTTGGCAACCAAGCACACAACTGTAAAATGGACTATTGTGCTATACTGAAATTAAAAGAGCCACGGTTGATTTCACTCGCAAAGTTCAGTAAATAATCTTAACCTTCCGTAGATATGCCTTGCCATCCAGGATTTAGCTCAACATCACCAGAAAGTAAAAGTATTTGTGTAGTAGCCACAGAGTTTGCATAGTACGAAGCTCTGCCTGAACTCCAGGAACCCTTGAGTTTACAAAAACCGCCAAAAGTCGCCGGCTTGAAGTTGTAGTCGCCGGCAGAAGTCCGAAGACAAATAACGCCCTCAATTGCAGTATTTAGTGTTTCTGGTACAAACAAGGTAATGTGCATGCTGATAAAGAGGATACTTAGCTGCATTATGGATGACATTTAGATGCATTAAAACAAAGCCTAAAAGTAGAAAACCTCTTTGAACCTTGGAACTACGGCAAAGAGTGACCGCCATTATGCTAATTTTCTCAGCCATGAAAGTAAATAAATAAAATTCAATAATCGAAAAACGCATCAAATCGATAATAATAATTACTTATGAGAAACTTTCTCGAGGAGTGCGTACCTGAATGATTTGTGATGCAATAGCCATGACTCCTAACTTCAACTGTGACTTCATATCGTTCGTAGCTGCCAAAGAGCTGAATGCCCAGTAGGTAGATGGCCCTATCGACGGAGAAAGCTATCTCTCCCATCTTATCTCCATACTTCCACTTCCACGGAGGAAGGAAATTGTCAAATCTAGTACATGGATGAAAATCGACTCTTCGGGCTGGTGAAAACTGCAACACAGTCCTCAACTCATCCAGGTAATAACTCAACATGTGAGAAACTTCCTCGTCTTTCAGAATGTTATTAGTTTCTCTAGATATCGTCACGGATCCAAACTCTTCGTACGACATCAGCGGAAATCGAATCGCTTTCACGATGTCGTCTCTCTAATAATTCTTGATAGTCACGAATAAAACAGATACAGACGCAGAGATCAAGCTTGAGTGTGGGAATACTATTTCTGAAAATTTCTTTTAAGGTCGATATCTCTAGAATAAAAATCACATATAAGTTCACGAGTAAGGTGAACAGAGATGATACGCGGGTGCTCTGTCTATGAGATATGAATCATTTCTGCGTTTTTCGAAACATACTTCTTTTAGTATCGTTTGTGCTCTGAATATGCTATGCTCAAGCCTAGAAAAATTAGGTTTGCAAAGTTGTGCTAATGCTTATGTTGAAATGTTTGAATAGATAGGAACCAATCGCAAGGTGCTTTTTGGAACTAACTATAAATTAATGTTAGATATCTTCCAATTACGTTTAGTGACTTCATTTCGTCATAGAAAGACAACGCAGATCTGAGAATCCCTCATCACTCAATTAAAAAAAAAAAAAGAACTTAATATTAATTTCAAATTATAGAAAAATATCTTTCCTATAAACAATGCCTGTACCTTAGTGCTAACAGTTTTTCAATTGCGTAGGAAAATGAAAATGAAATATCATTTTCGTTTTTTCGTTTTTGTTTTTTTCGGTTTTTGGGTTTTTGGTTTTTTCGGTTTTTGGGTTTTTGGTTTTTGGTTTTTGGTTTTTGGTTTTTGGTTTTTGGTTTTTGGTTTTTGGTTTTTGGTTTTTTTATTTTTGGTTTTGGTTTTTAGTTTTTCGCTGCGCTGTAAAAAAACGAAATTTGAGTTCAAATTCTGTTTTCCGTTTTTCACTTTTGTATGGAATTTGGAAAACGGATTGCAAGTCAAGTCAAGTCGTTTTTCGTTTTCCACCAATGGCACTGAAACTGACATGCCGTGGGAAAATTAATTCTACCTAAAATAACAACCAATCATGTTACGAGAGATCCCCGCGAAATAAGGGTAGACACGGCAAAAAGAAAAAGACTCACGGGAAAAGAGAAAACCTCACTGCAAAAAGAAAACGACTTACGGCAAAAGAAACAACAATATTCTCACTGCATAAAAGAGAGCGAGGGGGCTGGGAGGTTCTTTCTTTTGCCTTGAGGCTTTTTCTTTTAATTTTGCCTTGAGGTTTTTTTCTTTTGCCGTGAGGCTTTTTCTTTTGCCGTGAGTTTATTTCTTTTACCGCATATACAACAAAAAATTGTCATTCAAGAACACATTTTCTTTGCAAGACTCACAGCAAAGTATAATTTCGTCACCCGCCTTCTCAAATACAGTGTCATGAGCAATCAGTATTTGACCCTCAAATGAATTTTAAAAGACTCGACAAACAGAGGCGTTTGTTGAAATACTTAGGTTATTCGTAATCCGCCGTATTTAAATACACTGCCGTTCATACGCAATACGCAGTCAGTATTTGAACGATATTAGCCGCTGACCCTCAAATGAATTTTAAATTTTGCCGTTTTTGCCGTGAGTTGATTTTGTTTTGCCCTGAGTTATTTTATTTTGCCGCCAGTTATTTTATCTTGCCAGTGCCATTGGAGGAAAACGATAAACGACTTGACTTGCAATCCGTTTTCCAAATTCCATACGAAAACAACAACGAAAATTGGAGTCCAATTTGGTTTTTTTACAGCGCAGCGAAAACGAATAACAAAAATGATATTTGATTTTTATTTTCCTCTGCGATTGAAAAACGGTTGGCACTAAGGTCTACGCATTATAAACATCCACTGTCACAGGCTGCCGGAATTGTGATGCCAACTCGTCATTTCTATCCCTTAAGTAAACGAAAATGAAACTCCGGAACTAGAACCCGGTTTCAGAGCAGCTGCACGGCACTTACTAAAACAATACTATTGGTAAAATTGACCTCGGCATGTAGACTATTAATGTAAACAGTGATCACGGGCGCCTTAGAATGTTTTATTATTAATGAAGTCACCCTTACGTGTTTGCAAAGTTAGTTCCTCCGTTTAGACTGTACGTCTTTCGAGAAGTTAATCTTCCGTTCTCGAAGCGTCCATCAGTTAAGTGCTCCTTGTGATCCGTAGGTGTCGTTAGTTATATCTATTCTCCAACGACTAGTTATCGAACTTGGATTTGATGGCTCAGTCAAAGCTATATTTCAAGCTCAAGCAAACAATTATTTTTCCATTCATGGTTCTCGTGCTGACTGAAATCGTACAAGGAAAGGGTGAGTAATAAATCATTTAGAATCTCGAGTCTCTTCATGCTCAGTAAGACAGAAATCAGATAATCCTAGGGTTTACGGTCAATTCGCCATCACAACAAACTCTTCACCACAAAACTCGCCACCACTCAAAGTGAAATCGCCACATGTGGCGATTTACTAAAACGTTATGTGTGAAACTTACATAAAATGAAAGCTAATGAAGATGTAGTACTATATTACGAAAAGGGAAAGGTGTAATGACTGAATAATGGAACGTTAAACGAACTGAAAACATGTTGATATCACGAAGATTATGATCAGTTAGCGAACAGCGAAACCATTCCTTTCTTTTTTTGGAAAACTCTTTGTTTTAATGAGTTAACAAATGCAGCCATCAAAGAGAAAATCGCTGACATGCTACTTATTATTCTAATAATTATAGTTTGATCCGTTTGCCCTTCTGGAACTCCTTGAGGGTTTCAAGTCGCTTTCTGAAGAATTTTGCCGTGTTTGTTGGCACTCTTAATTTCGCATCATAAAAACTAAAAGATAAATAAACTTCAAGATCTAACCTTTCGTATGATATAAGTTTCATTAGATTTGAGAGCGAATCATTTTCATAAGAAGGAAACTAAATTGGACTTGAGTTTGCACCTGCACTAGACGAAAATAGAAGTTAGCATACAATGCATATCAGTAATTGAAACGATATATCAAAACGATAAAATAGCTTTTATTGTACATGTAAGAGCCTCATCACTGACACTAAGATTAAATGGGGATACTGTAAAGCAGATGTTAATATAGACAACAAGGCTACGTTAAGAAAATCAGTAGCATACCTTTCCATCGTTTTCCAAGACTGGTGCAAAAACACTCGCGACTCCATTTGAAACAATCGATAGCACGCAAGAACAAACTTCTACCCCGTTCTCAATATTTTTCCAAGTATTTTTCTTTGACACTTTCCAAGCATTTGGTTTATTCAGGTGACAAAGCAAATCTCGGGTAATAATGTTTTTGCTTTTTAAAAATACGTTCTGTAAGGGAGTCATCAGTCATCGCCTAGGGTATCCAACTTAGTTTTCAGGAGGAACGGATTGGGGATTAATAGTCGTCAACAGAATATAAAGAGGAGACTATGGATAATTGGCTGCCAATTAATTGCTAATGCGAGGGGAAAAGAGGGGGGAGGGGAATCATAAGAATATTTTAGAGCCTTATGAGGGGGTCAGGTACATTTTATCGTGACAAAACCAAAATCCTCCGTCTCCCCTTCCCGCAGGTGATAATGACTGGTCCCTATTTGGCCTGGGAAAAGCCGGCCACAATCTCAGCCGCTCATGTCCAAGCCTTTTGAATATTAAAAACAATCGCCTTTCAGTCACTAGTCTGTTCTGTACTTTAGAGAGGTTAAAATCGTTTTCAAGTTGGCACCTTGTGGTATGAACTGATTATTCTAAATTGAAGATCTGGTTGATTAAACTCTTTTTGCTCTGCTACTTCTTTTTACAGACGATTGTCGCATTGTAAAGTATGAGCCCCAAATGGTTGGGAGATCTCTGTTGAATCACACGATCATTTCGGTCGTCATAGACTCGATGGAAATTTGTGAATTGAGGTGCTATCTTGAACACGACTGTGTGTCGATCAACTTTGGAGCTGAAGATGACGGAGCGAATAGATGTGAACTAAGTGACTCAGATCACATTGTTCATCCTGGAGATCTTAAAAATCGAGAGGGATTTATCTACAGATCAGTTGAGGTATCATTGTATTGGTCTTTCAATTCCATGGAAGTCCTACACCATGAATTGAGAGCACAAAATTAGCTGAGTAAAACGAAAGACATCGCACATACTTCTCAACTTTGCGCCAAGACGTTGATGAGTTGGTTTCCCTTCAGGCGCACTGTGTCCTTCTAACCCAGTTTAAAAATCACTTATCCTGGGTATTCCGGCTCAAACCAAACTAACGAAAGGAATCGTGGCGCCCTTATGTGTTACGCCCTGTTTATTTCCTCTCTGCCTCCATCTCTCCTTCCTTTTACGACAAGCATTTCCTTTTTAATCTCTTTTCCTCTTATTCTCTGCTATTTTCGCAAATTTTTTATTTTCTCTTGTATAATATCTCCCTTCTACCTTAGAACTCCAGTAACTCGAACTCGGTTAACTCGAACTCCCTGAGTAAGGTCCGATTTCCTTTGACCCATTATTTTTTCCTTTTGGAGTTCTAATTAGCTGGGTTCTACTGTATTTTCTAACAATTTCTTGCACTCTTCTGGCATAAAATGAATAATTAAGTACGTAAGAGAATTATTTTTGCGTCAACAGAATTTTTGCACCAGCAATCCTTGTTCATCGAATGGCCGCTGTCAAACAGGATTTGGGGATAAAGGATACCGCTGTATATGTTCTACAGGATACACAGGGGAACACTGTTCTACTGGTAAAACTTTTTGTGACAATTTTCTTAATTTCTGCCTTCCTTACCGACAACTGATAAGATTCAACCCTTCCACTCTCAAGATCTAATAAGAAATTCTTCCTACTGTCTGCCATACAATTCACACGACATTACTTCAGAGAATTTGTAATGGGATCCACTTATAATCCCCTAATTGATATTTTTCTCATCACTTGTCTGCTTGATATTGTATTGATAATGCAAGACGAAAATCTGTTTTGGTCGCCCATGGGAGTAAAAGGGTTTTATCTTTATTGTTATAGCCAACCATCTATAATTTTCATCACTTTGTATTGTTAAGCGATTACTTTTCAGAGTTTTTGAGGAAAACAATGAAATTTAGACGCAGCTCACGCCTGACTCATAAATTTCCGTTATGATTCGTTGCATCTAGCGATCCTCGGTCACGTTAAAGAAAAACCCGGAAATTCTTGTAAACATATCTTGGATAATGGGTCATCGAAAAAAAACGGGGAGTACTGGATCGACCTCGGAGACAGCGGAGACCCTCTAAAAGTTTACTGCGACATGACAACTGATGGAGGTATGAAGGATTCTCAAAATATTGACAGACAAATCGTGAAGCAACCTCCAGCCTTAATGCACCTCCCCGCATGAACCCAGCCACGTGATAGAAGCTCAACTTACTTAATCATTTCACTCCCAGGATCTGATTAGCAATTCTCCTTACTGTCTGCCACATAGTTCTTATGATGTTAGTTTGGAGAAGTTGATATTGGATCAACTGATAATCCCATGATTTTCTTTTTTCCTTATTCTCCTTACTTGTCTGTTTGATATTGTATTGATATTATAAGGAGAAATTCTATTTAACTGTTCTTTTGTGAGACTGTCGTCTTTTCTGGTGACCGAAAAATCTCAAAACATCATGACGTATTTCTTTTCACTCGAGTTAAATGAATGTTTCGAAGCCATCATTTTCACTGAAACAAAATGAAGAAAAGAGGTAGCCTTTGCCAAAGTTAAGCAAAAACAGAACTTGAACTCGCGTAGGGTTTGGTTGCTTCAAGATATAAATCATTCTGACTTGCAAGCAAAAACAATTTACTGTTGTTGGAGAGTTTAGCAGACTATTGAATTTCCCAAATGACTTTTTGCCATGTTTGAGCGTCTCAAATCCTGTTAATCCTCTTTGATTTATAAGGTTAGGAGATGTCACCGGCAGAGGGACTATATTTTGAGAAAAGAATGTTTCACTCAACTTTTTCAACAATAAGTTAAATGATCGGTGTTTACACTTGAACCAATACGACATTTACAATACAAAGTGGTAAACCCAGTTAACCATTTCTGGAATAGATATTATCTACTCTCTCTGATTTCGAGCAATCCACTGAATGCTTCAAGTCCTCTACGCAACCGAGGAAAGTTTGGTCATTAACATGAAACGCGTTCCCACGTTCCCACGTTCCCACGTTCTCACGTTCCCACGTTCCCACGTTCTCACGTTCCCACGTTCCCACGTTCCCACCAATAGCGTAGCTCCATCTCTCTGTATGGAAACCACACACAATCCACAATTTCTCTCCGCTCTAACTATAATTCACACGCCATTCCTTATTTTATATCGGCTGTTATTATATGGCTGTGTCTCACAAGGACTGGGAACTACCGAATTCACGAATTTGATTGGCTGAAATCAATATTGAAAGCGGTCTAGATTTTCCCATCTAGACCGGCATCTAGACCGGTCTAGGAAAAAAAGGTACAAAGAATATAAAAAATTGGCATATAAGACACAGCCATGCATTGGATAACGCAATTCAAGACTTTTTATTGGCTCAGCCATTATGGTATATGAGCCAATATACCATAATCTAATATATGTACATTGTAACATCCGGTTTCTTCTTACAAAATAAAGTCGAGAAGATTTGTCTAACATCTTGGGGGAGCTTTTTTTTCATATCCAATGCGCGCTCATGGAATAATTGTTAATTATCCTTCGTCAGGCAGGCTCCCATATTTCACTATATCATATCGATTGGACAAGATAAAAATAATATGAAAATATTTATGTCTTCGAACCAACTAATTGACGTAATTATGCAGTGCTTATGCTTTCAAAAGAAATCGAAAGTTTCACTTTAACTTCAATTATATTGAGGTAATTTCTAATGTAAACACTGTATGACAGAGGCGATTTTCCGGCGCGCGTCGAAAATAACAAAGCTGTACTTCTCACAAGTCGCGACATTTCGAACATTTTAGAACGAAAAATATCGCGTCGAAGCTAGTTCTAAGCAATAAAGATGAAAAACAACTTTGAAAATTAAAGGTAAATGCTCAAACAAAATTTAATTCGTAACAATTAATTTCTGCCTTTCGTCAGCGTTAATTTTGGCAGCTAAGTGTTTGTAATAAATTTTGTCAGTGTTCACACATACGAAGAATGATCTTCAAGTCTATCATTTCTAACGTGTTATATGCCAACTGGGGCTGATCTTAGTTCCAAATGGCTCGTGTTCCGTTATACACCGAAGCTGGGTTCCTGTAACTGCAAAAATAGTTCGTCTCATTCCGAGGTAGCAGTGTAAAATGAATCCGTAGCGGGCACTGCGGTCTTCTTTAGCAAAGTAACTATCACTCCACAGCTAGGATTTGTTTGAGGAAAAAACCTTTGCCTTTCGAATTGAGTCGGTGTCCTAGTACATTTAATTCTTATGTGAAGGTGTAGTCTGATCGTCCGGGTGAGTGTAGTCCTGAGTGAGTGAGTGTAGTTGTTGACATCTGTTTAGGGGAGTCTGTTCTAAGTTAGTAAACCAGCTTTCCAGAGTCAGTCGTTGAAAATAGTCAGTGCTGTAGGTTAGGCACTGCGCAGAGTCCCAGTCAATGTTGTGGTTGGTAAGTCGTTGGTAAGACGACACGACGAAATTGACGCATTCCACCGCCACCTTAATGAACAAAACACTGACATACAGTTTACCAGAGAAGTCGAAGAAAATGGCAAACTTCCTTTTCTAGACTGCCTGGTAAGCCACAACGACAACTCATTACGGACGACAGTTTACAGGAAACCGACACACACCGACAGATTACTAGACGAGTCATCCTACAACCCTACATCACACAAAGCCACAACTATCAGAACTCTAACACGACGCGCACAACTAGTATGCGACTCGACAGACAGCTTATCCGACGAGAACAAATACCTTCACCGTGTTTTTACGAAGAACAACTACAACAACGACTTCATCCGACGAAACACTCACCGACCCACTACCACTACCGAAACAAACGACACCGCAACCCCTACGACTACAGCAACCATACCGTACATAAAAGGCATGTCTGAAAACATCTCGCGCATCTTACTACCCTTCAATATCCGCGTCGCCCACAAACCCATCACCACACTACGTCAGTTACTAACCAACGTTAAAGACAAAGACGAACCGAGGAACAGACAGGGAACGATTTATAAGATCAATTGTTCCGACTGCCAAGCCTCCTACATCGGTGAGACTGGCAGAAACCTCACAACAAGACTGACTGAACACAGACGGGCGACGAGGAAAGGTGATGTCAGCAATCACATTGCTGAACACCATCGACTTACCAACCACAACATTGACTGGGACTCTGCGCAATGCCTAACCTACAGCACTGACTATTTTCAACGACTGACTCTGGAAAGCTGGTTTACTAACTTAGAACAGACTCCCCTAAACAGATGTCAACAACTACCCGCCCCATACAAACGACTCATTCACGACATAAACATCACAAACGACCGAAAAAGAACAACCTAGCTTTACCGACAGACCGAAACAGACCAATCACGAACGACTTACGTCACTTGAGTCTTACAGCCAATAACATCACGGCAAAACCAACCGATCATTTCACACGAACTGGAATAAGAACATTCTACTGACAACAATCACTCACTTGACTCTGATGATGACTTCCGCACAGGTTGTCGAAACGTCAGTCACTGCCACCGACAACAGTCCTTCTCAGGACTACACTCACCCGGACGATCAGACTACACCTTCACATGTTACCCCCGGGTTCAAACCATTTACTGCATTACTAC